CATCCATCCATCCATCCATCCATCCATCCATCCATCCATCCATCCATTTCCTGAATCAGCCAGCACTGGCTTGAATTGCGTCTCAGTCTATACCCGGAGGGAGCCCTCTGGTCTTTCACCCTGAGTGCTTTGAATTGCAGATGCTGAGGTTATTTGTAATGATCACTGTTTACCGAGGCAACCAACAAATGCTGGCTCCTCCCTCTTGTGGGGGCCCTGAGCTAGGTGCTGTGAGGCATTTCGGGGGTGGGCAGGTAAATGGGGCCTGTCTCTTTCTTCAGAAGGGTCCCAGATCCACAGGCGGGTAAGAGGATGGGGTGGGGACGAGACCCTCTCTGCTTGCACCTAGCATCAGATCCTGTGTTATCGGCTCCTATTAGCCCCCAGTCCCTGCAGAGGGCACGTTGTTATCCTCTTCTTATAGATGTAGAAGCTGAAGATCCGAGAGGTTCAGTCCCTTGCCCAGAACACAGGCTACTTCGTGGCAGAGCTAGTTTAGTCCTGGTAAGGGATTGAACGTTCTGGCCAGACACAAACACACTAGGATTTACAGGAATGTGAGATAACTTTCAAACGTCAGTAGTCAGGGGAGGCTTCCTGGAAGAACTATGTACTAGGTTGTCCCTGAAGGACTGCGAAGACATGCTGGGTCCTGGGTGCACCAAGAGAGAGGACTTGAGCCTTTACTCATCTGGGTCCTTAATTTTCTCACCTTTAAAATGGACATGACAGTATGGAGTGACTAGATGTTTTTTAATGACTGGTGCATTCTGCCCTTGGGGAAGCTTTTCTCAATGGCCATACTGTTCACATTTTGAACCTGCTCACTCTTTATCGTGGAGGCTGATGCTGTGGACTCTATGCCAGGAGCCAAAAGTATTGGGACATCTGTAATAATAATAAAAAAGTCTCTGGAAATTGCCAAATATCACCAGCAAGGATTATCACCCTAGAGCGAGCTCATCTGTCCCCTAAACTTCTTCCCAGAGTTAATGCCGACATGATAGGCAAGGAGCAACACATTTCCTACCCCAGCCCTCTCCCAGGAGGCTGAGACAGGAAGAGCATGAATGTGAGACCAGCCTGGTCTACATGGAAAGACCCTGTCTCAGAAGCAAAATAGAAACAAGCAAACAACACAAGCTACGTCCCCGCTCCCTGCCCTCTGCAATGCTTTTTCTTTCTAATAGACAGAATGGCTCATTGGTTTATTTTTGTGTACTGCAGTCAAACTTCAGCTGGGCTCGTTGGCCTCTTTATTCAGTGCGATGGTCCCAGCACCCAGAAATATGCCTGTCACACAGCAGGTGTCCTGCTCGTGTGTGCCAAATGAATGGACAAGATGCACGCAGAAGCACTGAGTAGCACATAAAACCTTCACCAATAGAGAAGTGGGGGAGCTCTTAATTAAACCCACAGGTCCCTGGGTCTGACCCTGAGGCTGTCTGCCCTGACACCCCCCCCACCCTCACGGAGGGTGGGGGTAGCAGGCTGTAACAGCTGAAAACAGATCTTTTCTCTTTCTTGTGGAGACTTGAGTGGGAGGGAATGCGTCAGTGCTGGGGAGCAGCCTTCCCTGCTCTGGCTTGCGTTGGTTTGCAGGTTCGTTACATAAAGCACTGAGCGATCGGCTGGTACAGCCCTGCAGACCCACATTTGGGGACTGATGCAGATTCCCTGCACCAGCCATGCACTTGCCTGCAGCAGCCCAAGACCCCCCTGCTGGGGAGCTCCAGGGTGGACCTAGCTGAATACCTCATCTAAAGGGAGAAGGGGCTGAGGCTCACCAGGGTTGCATCATTGCCCACCATCTCCTAGCAAAGCCAGCAGATATGATTAGGGTCCTCAGAACTCAAACATTCAGGGTCTCCTGTCTAGCATTGCCTAGGATTTCCCCACAAGCTTAGGAAAAGCGATACCCATGCACACCTTCCAAAATGCCTCCCTAGACACTGAACCCTTCTCCCCAGCCAGGCAGTGGCTGCATTGGCAGGTGTAGCAGTTGAGACCAGAGAAGTCAAGACCCAGGTCAGGGACACACAGCAAAGTGACGACAAAGTGTCATCCATCTGATTCCCACTTACCAGTGCTCACTGTCCCCAGATATCCCAGGCCTGTGGCTCAGACAGCAGAAAGCCAGGCACAATTTTCTTTCACCACCCCCACTCCCCACCCACTCATAGCCAGCTCCCTGTGGTACTGGTGATTTAGTTCCATGGAGATATCCTGGAAACTGGGGGTTGGTTCACGGTCTCCCAGTTTCACTGTGTGCCCCAAGGCAAAGAATAACCTTCTCTGAGCATCAACCTGCCAAAAGGCCTGGGTTCTCCTTGAGGATGGAACTAACTCTCGAGGTTAGTGGAGGTGTGATGGTCAACAGAAGGTGGGCAAGCCAGTAGCTCTCTCCTCCACTAAGTCCCCGGGCATCACCCTCTTCGGCTTTGCGAGCTGGTTCTCTAACCATCTCTGAGGTCTCCATCTTCCCCACGTCCCTAGCTATGTCTGCACCTTGTACTGCCAGGTAGTGGAGTCCAGAAAGCAGGTCCGTGGAGATAACATAGTTTCTAATATGGGTTTGGAGGAGGTGGCCAGGATGATGGGGCACAGACAGAGGGGCGATCTGGACGCCGCAACGGAGGCAAGCTCGTAAGCTGTGGTGACCTTGACCGTAACTACTCCTAAGGGCCTTGGAAAAACAGGGCAAAAGGGCTGTCAGGTCTCTTCTTTGGCCTCCGGACAGGGCGTGTACAGGCTAGGTAGTTAACCTCAGTAGGAAGAACTAACCCAGTCCACCAGTCAGGAGACTGCTCAGCTTCTCCCAGCCCTCACTCTCTTCCCCACACACCTTGTGCCCCCACTCCCGCCCCAGTAGCCACTGGAATGACCGGACTAGCGAGGGGCCGATTCCCCTGCCCCCACCAGAGAAATACAGTCTGCACCCTAACACACTCCTCCCTTCTTCACCAGGTAGGGTCCAGACCCACTCACCCGCCAGCGGGGTGCATAGATGGTAGAACGCGGTCAGGCGCAGCAGCCACGCGAGCAGCGAGGGAACCATGGCTGGAGTGTAGGAATCCGGTGGGTTCGGCGGCTGGGCAGCGACGCAGCTCCGAGTCCCTCCGCCACCAGCTTCGGTAGCTTTTTATAATGGGCTGGCAGCCTCCGCCCCCGGCGCCCGCAGTAGGAGGCGGTGGGAGGGGAAAGGAAGAGCCTGTGGTTGCGGCTGGATTCCTCCCAGGTTGCCAAGGAACCAACCATTCGCGCTGAGCTCTGCTCCGGGAGCGGCGCGGTGAAAACCCAGGGGGTCACTGGGCCGCCATCCCTGGATAACCTAGGTCTGGTCTAAGTGGAACTCTGAGCCAGGGACATGCAGATCGCTGGGCCCGCCATGCCGGATCTGCCAAGCCCTTTCTTATCAAGAGGTAGTCGGGGCCTTTCGACCAAGTGATGCAGAACCCAGCCCTCAGTCCGTAGACCCTCCGCACCGCCAATGCATCTACACGGCTCAGCCTGACAGAGTTTGCTGCAAGAATGACCCAGTCCTGCCACCTGTGGACAGAGAGGGAAACTGAGGCCCGGAGAGGGGAGGGACCATTCCAAACCATACAGAGCTTCACTGTGCAGAATAAACTTATCAGGACCAACAGAGGAGACCACAGAGTCGGGGACTGTTTAGGACATGGAGGGAAACCAGGCCTCCTCAGCTGTTGTTTGCTCTTTCTAGCCTTTTCCCCCACCCTTGCCAGCTCTGCTTTCTTCCGGCATCCAGAACAGCACAACCACTAATTTATTATCGGAGCCTGGGCCTATTGGCTCTCCCTGGACCCTAGTGCAGAGCCTTGGAGAAGTCCTGCCTCCCACCAGGGCAGCTCTGCCCACTGTACAAGGCGAGTCTGGCTAATAGGGCTCTGATCTTCTAGAAGCTTTCTTGCAGAGGCCAGGAGAGACCTAGCAGCAAGACTTGGGGTACCGCACATAACCCACTTCCTACTTTCACTGCAGGCTTCCCTAAGACAGGGGGTACACTCCTGGGAGTCTAGAACAGTCAGCTTCTAGAGCCTCTTCGGTCTGGAACCAGAAGCGAATTGCGCTACTCTTTTTGGGATGCCAGCCAAGGGAAAAACCAGTTTGTCTAGTCTAGAAAAGTGTCCCAGGCTATGGAGCCAGCTGGATCATAGCCAGCCTCTGGTCCAGACTTGGCCAGGCAGAGAGGCTGCAGCTGCCACACGACAGAACCTCTCTTCTCTCCTGCTGCCCCCGGGTGGGTGTGGGGCAGCTGGATACTTAGAGAGTTGGGGACGGCTTCCCTGGCAGGGGTCAATGTCCACTGGGGCCCAAATGACCTGCCCTTACCTGGCCAGATAAGAAGCTAGGGAGCTTCATTTTACAGCTGGAGAGACTTAACAATTGATAAAAATGGAGGCCCAGGTCAGGTATGGTCGCTCATACTTGGAATCCCAACATTGAAGGGGCCACAGGAGGATTTCCTGAAGTTCAAAGCTAGCCTGGGCTACATAGTTACTTCCAGGTCAGTCTGGCTAAATAAACACAAAAAAAAAAAAAAAAAAAAAAAAAAAAAGAATCCAGAGACCTAGCCTTCTTTGTGTTATGTTATGTAAGAGCAGAAGATAGGAAAAAGAGGTGAGAGGAGAGAGAGCAGAGGGAAAGGGAGAGAGAGAAGAAAAGGGAGGGAGGGTGGGGAAAACCAGGGAGCACTATGGGAAAACAGTGCTTGCATTTTTAAAGGAGAAGGATGTGGGAAATGGAAACCTGGAGTCCCCGACTTGAGGGTGTGCTCCGGAGGAGATTCTGGAGTCCCCGACTTGAGGGTGTGCTCCAGAGGAGAATCTGGAGGCAGGGAAGAGGACCTGCAGGACCCAAGCCTGGCTCTGGAGTGCTGCACAGTGTTTGCGGTCTGTAAAACTGGGAATTACTAACTTACAGCGAGCCAGGCACTTTCTAATGAGGTTTCCCACGGTGCTGTAGGCTAGCTCAGCTCAGCTGCACAGCGCTCACCTAGCAGGCAGAAACCCCAATACCACAAAACTTAAGGGCTCTCCACGACTAACCCATGTAGTCACGACAACCAACCCAGGGTGTCAGACTGATATCGATCACCCTGGTGGCTCACTTTATGATGGGGTAGCTGAAGATAGGAAGTGAAGAAGACGGCTTGGCCCAACTAACTGTCTCTTGGGTGTGAGTCTCCATCCCTTGGCAAGGAACCGTTTAACAAGCAAGCGTCTGAATGTCCACACGGTGGGTGAAAAGACAGAAACAGCTTTACTCTAACTTGCTCCGTTCCAGAGACAGCCCGTGCTCCCTACGGGTTCAGCTTCTCACTTACAGATGGTTGTTGAAATCCATCTCACCCAGGCATCAAGGAGTAACTGCTGAGACGCAGTTTGGGCAGAGTAGCCAGGCTTTTGGGTCCACCCGACCCAGTGCAAGCACAGCTCTGCCATTCCTAAAGGTCTCACTAGGGTAGGGTGCAGTATCCCCCCATCTGTACAATGGGACGCCAATGGCCACCTCAGCATATCTCTGGGGAGTGAATGAAACTAAAGACGTTCTTGGTGCCCGGCATGAAAGAGCAGTAGTATTTGCAAAGCCCTCGCGTGTGTCCGGAACTGTGGTAAGACAAAGAGACTCAGGGACAAACAAATAAGCTTTAATCCTTGGCCTCCGTGAACCCCAGCTCAGTATCAGGAGAGAGACACAAGGCCTCCCAACGACTCTCAGGCCGTGGGGCTGAAGCAGGAAGTAAGGAAGCAGTAAGACCGGGTGTAGCTCAGCGTCGTTAGGGCATTTGGCTGGCATATGTGAGGGCCTGGGTTCCATTCCTAGGCTATAAAAGTTAATAAAGAAAGGAAGGAAGGAAAGGATGGGGCTGGGGTGCAGCTCATTTGGTAAAGTACGTGCCTAGTTTGTACAAAGCCCTAGGTTCCATCACCAGAGCCACAAAACACACACACACACACACACAAACAAACAAACAAAAAACCCAGGTATGCTGGTTCACATCCCTAATCCCAGTACTTGGGAGGTTAAGGCAGGAGTATCAGAATTCAAGATCATCATCAGCTACACAAGCTGTAAAACATGAGACCCAGAAGGAGGAGGAGGAAAAGGAAAAGAGAAAGGAAGGAGAGCGAGCTAAATTCTTAGCCCAAAGATAAGCAAAGGAGATTTGGTTCCTCAGCCATTCTTTGAAAAGTTTCAAGCAAAACAGAAGAACGGCACCAAGGGTTTTCATATTTTAACCCCAAGATTCGATGGTCAACATTTTTCATATTTGTTTCATTTTTTTTCTTGGCCAAACAATTGCAAAGTACATTCTGGAAGCTTGACATTTTGCTCCTAACAGACCAGTGTGCACCTCCATCTTCATTCATGAGTATGATACAATTATAATTGTTCCACCTCACAGAATTAACAGTAACTCTTCTGTGCCGTCCAATACCCAGTTCACGTTTACATTTGCCCCAAATGTAGGCTTCTTTCTCCTTCCCTACCTCAAATCTTTTTCTTTTTAAAAAATCTTTCTTCTTTTTTTATTTTAGGACTAATTTTTCCTTATGTGCATGCTTGTGTGTGTGTGTGTGTGTGCTACCTGCGTGCAGATGCCCACTGAGGCCAGAAAAGAGCATGAGATCCTAGGGAGAGGGAGTGGTAGGCATCAGGAAGACATGTGAGGTGGGTGCTGGGAACTGAACCTCTGCAGGAGCAGTAAGTGATTTAACTGTTGAGCCTTCTCTCCAGCTTGTTTTCACCTTTCCTCCTCCCTCCCCTTTCTCTTCCACAAGGTCTTAATACATAGCCCAAGTAAGCCTTGAACTCAAAATCCACCTGCCTCAGCTTCACTAGCTCTGGGAATCTCCAAGCTTGAGTCACAGTTGGCAACTCCTGTTTTTGTTTCTTGAACTGGGCTACCAGCTAGGTGTGTGTATTGCATACAGTTACTTTCTGTTAGACCTCGGAAATCACGTGCATGTTTTTATTTTTATGACATCGACCTTTCAGAGTCAAGACTATGTTTGTGCAATGCTCTCATCGTCTTATCAAGTTACTTCCTTATGAATCATCTAATTTTCCCTTATCCTGTGTGCTTCCTATAAACCAGAACTTTAACCAGAATGTTGGATGAGACCCAAAAGACACATTCAAGGCAAGACACTGGCTTGAATAATACTGGGAGGTACGCAGAAGCAGGATACTCGCACTTTTCCTTTTGTTGGAATAGACAGATTGGCCGGTGAATGAATTGACTTCATCGCAGAAGTACTATTGTCTTGCAACTCACAGACTTTGGGGCATGCCCCAGCCCTACCAAATGCATACAGGCAGGCTTGCTTGTTTGTTTATTTGTTCATCCATCTTTCTCTTGTGTAGTCCAGGCTGGTCTAGAACTTACTATCTAATCCAGGCTAGCCTTCTGCATATCCCAAGTATATAGTGACACCAGGCTTATGGGCAGTGTTCGAACCAACTCTACAGGCAAGGAAGAGCCTAACCCAGATGAAGGTGCAGGCCCCTTCGTAACAAGGGGGATGTCTATGCCAGTGGCCCTGAGGAAGGGGCTCTAGGCAGGCTGCAGCTGAACCACAGCGAAGAAATGACAGGAAGCTAGGGAATGAATGGGAGGGACTTTGAGTGAAGGAATGACCAGGGAAGCAATGTGAAATTGTGGAGCATGAAGAAGGGAGCTTCTTCTAGTAACCCTGAGGGTGACTCTGAGACCATCTGTTGGCGGGTCACAGGCTTTTCAGGCTCCCAGCCCACCCTCAATTCTTCTCGCTCCATCCGGCCAATCAGGAGGGTACAGCCACAGTGCCCAACCCCTTCCTCCAGCTCAGTCCCCAGACTTAGATGTTCAGGAGGCTGTTGACTGCCCGTGCCTATGAATCACCTCATGTCCTATTCTTATTTTCACCTTACTTATTGATTTAGTAGCATAATATGTGAGTGTTATTCCCTATTATTACACAGCAGGTATTGTCTGAGTTAGGGAGCAGATTGTTATATAGCCCGGGCAACCTTTGAACTCCAGAGCCTCCGGCCTCTCTCTCATGAGTGTTAAAATGCGAGGCATATTCCACCAGGCCCCAGGTTTTTATGTGAGAGGTGGCGTCCAGGACTGTGGACAT